CTGTATGCTGTCAATAAGACTAATCACATACTCTCCCGTCCAGTTGATGGCAGTGGCTCTTGGCGTGTTGTACCAGGCAGAATGAAGCATGTCACTGTTGGAACTCATGAAATATTTGGCATTAATCCAACAAATGAAGTATACCGCTGCAAGAAACCTTGTCTTGGTGAATGGGAGAAGATGGTGTTTGATGATGGAGACATGAAGCAAGTTGATGCTACTCTCAATGGTGTGTTTGCTGTCAGTACAGGAGCCTCTATATACCAACACAACGTACCTTATTAACAAGGCTAACAAGGTTTATGAGAAAAAACTGAATTTGACTTTAATAATTTTAGTTTTTTACATTGTTTTTTGTTTTAGATACTCTTCAAAAAAATTTAACCATTAATATAATGGCAGTTTGCAGGCGTGACATATTATGTTTATTATCTCAAATATGAACTTAACAGCAACTAATGTGCACATATCCTATTTACACTTTTCAAATTTATAGAATATTGGCAAAAAACATAATGTGGTCTGAAACATCTCACATTGCAGTTTGCCAACTTTCCCCCCAGCTTCCCGCAAAAAAATTCCCGGGAAATGCATAGTATTTTGGGTCACGTCCATTTTTGTCAGCCATGTGCAGTTATAATTATAATTTTTTATTAGAAAAATTAGTTCCTGAACCTAAATCTAATTCAATTCCACAAAATAATGAAATGTAAAAGTAAATATAAGCACTGATCTAGCTATATATAAATGTAAAAGTAACAATGCAAACAATGTGGTAACATTTAATCCAGTTTTATCATATCAGCAATAGAATAAAGTTGCAGTCGATTTAATATTTTAATCAGAGAGTACCTAGGAGAATGTTGTTTCGTCTCCCACATCATTAGGACTTCAATTACTTGGCGATCTTCTTGGTAGCTTTTTGTAGTCTTATGTACCCCTACTTTATTAAGTTCATTTTTAAACTCAGACAACATATTGTTCTTTGCTACTTCTTGCAAAATGTGGAGAAGTTCTTCAAATGATAGATTATTATCTTCATTCTTTCTTAGCTTATTGCACTATAAAAAAAACAGACCAATAGCTACTAATGCATGTATTACTATGGCGATGCTTAAATTTTACATGCACTAACATACCATTTTTGCTGCATCAATCCAACAGTCACGACTAAAACTTAATGCATCTTTACAGTGCCGACATAACTCAGAAGCATCATTAAAATAGATATAATGACTATTACTGTCATGAGCAGAGCATGGAACGCCAATAAAATACTTCAAATCTCGAATCTGGTTGGTCTTTCTATTGAGACTATCGCAACATGCCTCAATGACACTTTTACAAGCTGACACACAATGATGCTTTTCAGCAGAGGCACATGTATCATTAATGTGAAATATAAGCTTCGTTTTGGTGCCTTCATACACCATTCTAATACGAATTAGATGACCATTTGAAGCTTGAAATTCAAACTCTGAAATATCGAAACATTTGTTTCCAATCAGACGAAAATTTTGCTTTTTCATTAACTCGTGACTAATGCTTGCTTGAACATTAGCAGGAAAATTAACACTTTCAAATTTAAGAAAGGCATAATCATTTTTAAAATCAGATGGAGGGGATTTTTTATGAATTCTGGCAGATGGTAAGTAGTAGCATTCTTCAGATGAAGTACCATGATCATACTTTCCTTTACTAATGAGAGCTGCTATTCCAAAAGTGATAATAATTTTCATAAAATTTTCTACATCATGTTTCAAAATTTTGAATGCATGTGCTTTCCTGATGACTCCATAAGTGGTCAGCTCACTATACCATTTTTTTCCTTCTTGGGGATAAAAAAGCTCATTTAAAAACTGCATAAACTGCCAAATATCAACGACTATTATATCTCTGAGAGACTTAAATTGTGGCATATAAAGGATACTACCAAAATCAGTAAAAGTGACAAGAAAATTTTCAAACTCTTCTTCGTCCATGTCTATCTTCTTTGCTAAATCATAAATATCACTTCTTTTTAATATCATTGCTTTTGCTTCTTCTTTTTTTGCAGAAATAATAAGGCTGCGCAAAAAAATGAAACTAAGCGGAAGACTTTTCTGAAAAGTTTTGTCCTTAATAATAAACTCTGTAATTTTATCTTTTGCGATTGTCAGCGAATTCTCATCATTAATTGAAACATGAATTACGTTAGAAACAAATTTTTCAACGTTTTGCTTCTTTGCTTCTTCTTGAATTTTACTATTTAGATCTACTTCATTAAATTGTGGAGGCGAATCAATGGCATTTTTGCTAGTGGCAATAATGAGAGTTTTTTTACAATCACTTTCCTTCTGCTTCTGATCATGGCCAAGTGTTGCAAAGTGAAGAATGTAATTAATTCGCGGCCTCCTTGTCATTATTAAATGGTTGTCACCTCTTCTGCTATAGTGATCAGCTGACAAATCTGGCACTTCATTAAGCTTAGGACTGTCTCGCTCTAAAGAAAAGAAAACAAGTCGAAGATGACTGTGGCAAAAGGAAAGCATAATAGGAAGAAAATCATAAAGGGCTTTATTAACACCAACGTCTATTATATTGGCTAGGGTGAGGCCATTGAGTAAAAGAGCTTCTTTTTTTTCATCCATAGAAATGTCCTTTAGCTGTTTTTCCACCTTTCCCATAAGCCACTTAAAGTGATCATCAACTAAGCTATTTGTACTATCACTTACGTGACCATCACTTGTAAACTCAGCATTTCCTATTTCTGATTTCGCTAAAGCAATGTGACGAACAAGACCACAGAGAATGGAGAAAATGGAACCAAATCGATCTGTAGTAAAAGACCATGAGTACTGGTTATATGGCTTACCACCAAGTACGCACAGCTCATAAATAGATAAACCATTACGATCTTCCTTTCTTGTCATATAATCATCAAGTTTTTGTTTTGCATTCTCCTTTAATTTAATGTTTTCTCTAAAAAGTTTTTGTAAAATTGACGTTTTGAGACAATCTGGCAGTCCCATTACTGCCACTAGACACAAGGCAACAGGAACTTTGTGATTAAGAATTATTCGTTTGAATTCCATCATTGAAATTTCTAATTTTGGACCTAAAACAAAATAAATATATGTAATTTTGGCAAATAAACCAAAATTAATCATATGCACCTTTGCTAAAATCCAATAAAACATCACCTACAATATCAACATCATGAACTGCATTACTGAATTTTGTTTCATCTTGGTGTGGATAGGCTGACAATGGTGGAACAACAAAAGACATTTCCTTTTCCTTATGCCCTATTTCACTTGCTTCACTTGCTTCAATTGATAAAGCATAACTATAGTCATTATCAAAGCTATCCCTAACCCTGTAATAATGATAGATACCATAAATAACATTTAGAAATACTTACAGAGCATCCAAATTTTCAGTAAGGTAATGTAGTACCTCCTTGTTTTGAATTGAAATGTAAATGCATTGACGTTTCTCATCAATCCCACTGATTAAAAAATGTGCTACTTTGGTATTCAATTTCTCTGATAATGTTGACTTTATTTTATATAGCACTGAGCCAGCATGCATTGATGAGTGGCAAAGACGACAATCAATAGAAAAAATGCAATGATCAGGTATTTGAACAGCAGGAATAGAATTTGGAGAAATTTGAAAAACACGAAGCTTTTCTAATGTGCTCTTGAATTGCTTGACATAGGCACCAAAAGCTTTTCCATTACCAAGGTCATCATCAAGCTCTTCAAGAAGATCATAATTGATCCAACTGCAGCGCTTCAAGATGAATTCATGAATATTAGCATCACTTGGAACTTTCAGCCATTCAGCTATGCACTTTTGTTTGATCCCTTCAAACATTCTGATGTATGCTTGTGCAAAGCTTAGCCTCATTTCTTTTATAAGTGGCTCATCCTGACTATTGCTGCTGCCTAAAGTGACTGATAATTGTTTCTGATGCTCTGACTTGCTATGCTCTGATTTGATATGCTCTGATTTGATATAACTAATTATAAGTTTGGTGACATCAATTGGAAAAGTCTCAGATGAAAAAAGTGCTTTGACTAATGTATCACACTTGGCATATAGCTTTTCCTTTTCCCTCCAGTCCCACAGAATTTGAAGAGCTATAGACTGAGGCGTCACTGATTCATTAAATTCAGGAACAGAGCAATAAAGACATTTGGCAAGAGGTTGTATGAGATCTGCAGATACACAAAATGAGAAGATAATGAGTAAAGCATCAGTAATTTTATCTTCCAGAGATTGTACAGCTAACTGAAGCTCCTGCTTAATACTTTCAGTTGCTAATTAAAACAAAATAAAAATAAAAATGGAAGACATCATAGTATCTTACTGCTCCAGAGTTTCATATTCCTGTGAAAACTTTCATAATTTTCTGAGGTAGAAACACAATCCAGTCGAAATAATTTGAGCAAATGAGAATAAAACTCCTTTGAAATTACATTAAGGAAGAGACAAAAATCAAGTAACCGATGCTGTTCAATATAAGTAAATGATGATAAGACATCCCTAATAATTTGAGTGCTAAGAAAGTCCGAGGCTGACAAAACCTGTACATAAATTAAAATAAGTATTATTGATGTATAGTTGCAGCAAAGATCAAAGGCCTAACAGTTGTGATAAAACCTACAGAACATTCCCACCAATACCGCAGTGTGATACTATAAATAGCACACTCATTTATTTAATGTGCAGCAGTGTGATATCAGTGATAGCAGAGTACGTGCAATCTTTGCTGGAACTATACACTAAAACAATTAATACATGGGCGTTGTGATCTATCAGATTTATCCGCACTCACTTCCGGTCTCGTCACTAAAAATAGCGCTCTCGGCCTTTGGCCCTGTGCGCTATTTTTAGCGACTCGACCAGAAGCTCGTGCGGATAAATCTGATAAAACACGTCGCCCCATGTATTAACTATTACTGAATGAACTTAATACAGACTAATGAGACTACTATAGATATTGCATTATTTACTACTGCTTGACTGCCAGCATAAGTTCTGCCAAGTTCATACTGCTGCAAAGTGCACCCATAATATAACCTATAAACTGTTCCGACACAAACTATGAATGCAAGTATCATACAACTGACTCATTTTGTGGCCTGCAAGCTGAAAAATGATTTTTTACTGCATTCATGCATGTAGTACTGTACATGAGTCTGACATTATGAATCTGATCCTGATTCAATTGGCTTAGATCATTCACAATAACACTATTAGTAACGCGGTAGCGTTACTAAGTAGGATTCACCCCCAAACAAAATGGCTGCCACGACTTTTGCAGCCTTGCTATACCAGGAAAACGAGCTCCTATGCTTACCAGACTTTTTAGAGGACCTCATCTTGACCAGAGGACTCTATTGGTACCAATAGCGTGGCTCTAAACCTAGTCTAAGAGGAAAGCCAAAAATCTGCAAACCGGCCGTTTTGTTCAGCCACCTTTTTTCATCTTCATCATCATCATCATCAAGAAAGTCCTGGCAATTCAGTTGGCGAGCTGTATCTCAATCTTGACTCGTGCTAGAAGTATAATTCTTACGCCACTCTACTCCAACAGTCTATGCGCGGATCCATGTCCCCTAAAATCATTCTCCAAGATAAGAAAAAGTGACGTTATGACTGCTGTATCAGGCCAACTTACCTCCCGTCGCCATTTTGTTAATTATAGAAGCATGCCATGTCATGTGCTCCAAAATTTGNGCGTGGTCGCGCATGCTCAGATCTCAGGACTGGGAAAAGCAATCGATGTTTTAACCTAGCTAGGCTAGCTAT